GACCACGCCACAATCCCTTCTCCTCCATTCTCTTCTCGGGATCTTGGGCACACATCGCACGCACATGGGTCCAGGACTTGAACTGCAGTTGACTACATGGGAGTTCATTGACATAGCCATTGTGCTAACTGCTGGTCCCTCAAATCACTTTTAATCCTCTGAATAGTCCTCTATAATTTCATACTTAAAGCCCTTTATTTCTTCTCTTTGGAATTTTCCCCACAACTGGTCTATCAGATGATCTTTGTTTATTTGTCTGTTTGTTTTGGTTTTGTTTTTAAGAGAGATTTTTGCTATAGTGCATATGTACTCGCTTAAGTGACAGAAACAGAAACACAGAAAGCGAGAAATCATCCCCTGGGGGGATGGCCGCACCGCAGTCTCTTCTCCTCTATTCTCTTCTCGGGATCTTGGGCATGCACACACATGTCATGTGCCCAGCCTGAGTTTTAAGCCGCCAAGTCCGTGACTCAAACCACAGTCAACTACGAGGGAGTCTAATGACATAACCTTTATGTCATCTGCTGGACCCTAGACAATCTCTAATGTTAACCTTTACGTCATCTGCTGGACCCTAGACAATCTCTAATGAGTGATTTTATCTTGTTATTTCTTTTTATTCATTTAAAGATTTAAAAATGTTTCTTTTTAATATTTTTGCCACAGGTAGAGTGTACTTGCCAGAGAGAAACAGAGAAAGACAGTGAGAGGAAAGTGAGAAATTACCCCCTAGTGGGGATGGCGATGCCACAATCTTTTTTCTTCTGTTCTTTTGGGATTTGGGGAATATACACACACACACACACACGAGTGTGATTTTTCAAGCCCCTGGGCCCTAGCTTGAACTGACCTAGCTGCGGTCAGCCAAGTCCAGCGCTTTAATCACTATGCTGCTTGCTGGCCCTCGAAATTTTTAAAAATTTAAGTTTGCTACAGGGTGCTTGCACTCACCAGAGAGAGACAAAAAGTAAGAAATCACCCCCCTGGGGGGGAGGATAGCCATGTCACAATCCCTTCTCCATTCTCCCCCAGGACTCTTGGTACACATGCACACACACACACACACACACACACACACACACCCTCGAGATCTGCAAGTTACTAGGTCCAGGACTTGAACCACAAAGTCGGTCATATGGGAGCCAGCACCTTAACCTCTACATTATCTGCTTGCCCCTGTTTTTTCTTTTTTAAATGAGAAAGAGAAAGATTTCTCACCAGTTTGACAGGATCTTGCTGTATTGAACCCCCCTGGGCTAGCCTCTAGCACCCAGCTTGTTTAGAAACAGGTTGCAGTTTGACTCTAACCAGAGCCTCCCACACGACCCAGCTTCTGAGTAGCACTCTTTGTAGCACGGACCACCATAGCCAGTCCTCTTATCAGGACTTTAAAACCAGGCCACTGGTTACCTCCTCTTTGAAGACGTTCCTGGTATTTCCGAAGCCCATTTTCTCTCTCTCTCTCCCCCACCTCAGTTCTCCTTTAATAGCTTGTGTATACTGCTTTTAAAGTATTGAAACCATATTTTCAAATATTTGTATTTCCAGTAAACGTTTAGCTTCTTGGAGCCAGGCAATAGGGCTTTTCCATCTTTATTTCCCCAAGATCCAGCACCGTCTAGGTCATCCCTCTTGCTCAGTATATGCTTTCTGAACTAATGGCAGCTGAACTGACCCTGGAGGAACTAGGGATGGGCCCTGAAAAGGCTGTTTATGGCTTTCAAGATCTAGACATGGAAGGGCCTCTAATTAAACTGTCTATGGCCCCAGTGTTCAACAAGCAGTTTGGCTAGAAACTGGGATGCGTTAAAGCAGCCAGGAGAAGAGATTTATTTCCTTTGTGCTATCTCATCCTGAGACTGCCTTCCCAGTCTACACGGTGACTTTTTACTTGATATGTCATGTACAAGCAGATTCCAGCAGGATTCTGATTTAAGAAAACCCTCATGCTCATAAGTAAAGGGAAGCATGGTAGAGAAAGATACCCAAAGTGTGCTCTGGATTCTGTTCTATCTGAGGGGTTCTCTATTACTTTCAGTAGGTCGAGATTCACAGAGAAGTAAAAAGGTCACCAAAGCTCTGTGGCCTACACAACTTCCTGACCTCTCCTTCAGGCAAGCTTTATCCTTGTATGTCTGTTTATCCACAGAGACAGGGCTGATGCTTCATGAAGGGACTTTATTTAAAGCTCTTGGATTCCCAGTATAATATAATGCTGCTTTTTCTCTTTTTTGCCTCTACTTAGGGGGAACGTCCTCAGGACCCCGTTATCTGAGTCTAGTCCTCATGTTCTTCCCTAGAGTGAACGTTCAGAGCCTCAGGAGACCTCATCCCAACTTGTCAGGTAATTTTCCTGCCAATAGCCCTGCACAGAGCATCCTTAACCTCTTTGTTCCGCAGGCTGTACACCACAGGGTTCAGTAGGGGGGTGATGACAGTGTAGGTCACTGAGATCAGCTGGTCCTGATCCCTGGTGTTCTCTGACTTGGGCTTGAGGTAGGCAATGGAGGCACAGCCGTAGTGGATGATGACCACTGTGAGGTGGGAGGCACAGGTGGCGAAGGTCTTCTTCCGACCCTCTGCTGAAGCAATCTTGAGGATGGTGGAGATGATAAGAACGTAAGAGATGAAAACCAGGCCCATAGGTACAACGAGCACCAGAACACTGATGATCAAGGTCAGGATCTCGTTGACAGTGGTGTCAATGCAGGAGAGCTTCATCACGGGTCGGATGTCACAGAAGAAGTGGGCCACCTTTGTCGCACAGAAAGGTAACCTGAACACAGATGTCACTTGTGTCATTGCTACAGCTAACCCAATGCTGCAGGCTCCCCACACTAGCTGGGCACACACCCTCTTGTTCATAATAAGTGTGTATCTCAGGGGGTTGCAGATAGCCACATAGCGGTCATAACCCATGGCTGTGAGCAGAAAGCAGTTAGTGATGCCAAAGGTTACAAAGAAGAACATCTGTGTGGCACAGCCTGCCAATGAGATGGACTGGCTCAGACCCACGAGGCTGCAGAGCATCCTTGGGAGAATGACCAAAGTATAAACGGTCTCTGAAGTGGACAGCGTGCTCAGGAAGAAGTACATGGGCGTGTGAAGGTGGTGATCAATATGGATGATGGTCACGATGATGATATTACCTGCCAGGGTTAAGATGTACAGAGTAAGGAATCCCACAAAAAGAGTAATCTGGTGCTCGTGGAAGCTGGAGAAGCCTTGCAAAATAAATCCAGTGATGAGAGTGTAGTTGTCTTTCCTCATTGTCACCAGATCTGCAATGTAGAAGAACAGCAGTTACATACTTTTAGTAAAGAAGGTGAAGCTCATTGTTGAAACTGATTGAATCTGGTTCTCAGCTATAAATCTGAGGATAAAGTTCCTAGTAGATTCAATTGAATCCCTGGGGTTACTGAACTGTACTTAAAGCATTTTTACTCCATGGCCTTCTATTAAAATTTCTGAGCCAGTCGGTGCCGGTGGTTAAGGCAGCTGGATCCCACATGGCTAACAGCACAGTTTGAGTCCTGGGCCCAGCAGCTTGAGAAACACACCAGGTTTGGGTGTGTGTCTGCCCAATATCACTTAAGGAGAGAGAAGTGGAGGAGGGATTGTGCTATGACTATCTCCCAGGGGGTTGCTTTCTCACATTCTCTCTCTCTCTTCCAGTGAGCACATGTACACTACAGCAAATTAAAAAACAAACAAACAAACAAACAAAACCTCATACAATCTCTTTTTTCTCACAATATATCTACACATGCTCCCACTTTACTCCTGCTTTCATCCGTGATATCTGGAATGGCTTTCTTCATTTTTTTTCTCTTTCTTATTTTTTTTTTCTCCTGTTCTTCAGAGATCAATACAAGTTTTTAGTCCTTCACAAAATCACCCTATATTCTGATGTCTTTATGTCTATCTGAGTTATTTTATACCCCCATCGTTACTGCCCTTTCTCACACAGATACTTGTTAACTTTTTATTTATTTATTTCTTCCATGAGAGAGATCAGGGCAGAAAGAGAAACAGGCACTTTCAACAGGGTGTTCATACCAGGACCCCCTCCCAGCCTCAGTCAGCTTGGATTATACGCACAAGCATGCATGCCTCGGATGGACAGGAAGGCCTCTGGATGTGAACCTGGGGCCTTTCCATGTGGTTCTAGCATTGTAGAGTATTGCATAACTGCTGTGCTACTCACTGGCCCATTCCACTTTATAATACTTTGTACACCTTTTCATATCTCATTAGCTCAGTGTTATGCACAAATTAATTGCCTAACACAATTTGTTTGAACTGGAGATGTCTTTTCTTTCAAGACTGAATCATTGCTCTTGTATGTCTGTTAGGAAGTACTGAGTAGAAGCAAAGCTGAGGCAGAAAGGGTCATCTCATCTTCATAGAGAAAAAGGCAAATTGTCACTGACCTCTCCCCACTGCCGTCTGGATGACAAAGCCTGCTGGCAATTCATAGCACGGATTCACGTATGTTATAAACAATGCTGCATCTTTACCTTCCCTAAACAAGAAGGCAAATTTACAGCCAATACAACTTTGTGACTAGGTACACACCTACTCTGAAGAGGTAAACAATTTTGTCAGGAAAGGAGCAAATTCAAGTGTCCTTCATCCAAAGAATAGCAGCCCCTGAATTAAAAACAAGAAAAGAACACAGAAACCAAAGCTACACTAAAGATACATCATTTTGTTGCAGGATGGGGATCAGTCCAATTTTTGTAATATTTCATATATAAACGGTAAGCTTGTGTAATATACTTAAATTATATTCTGATTTGCTTATGCATATTCAGAAAGAGGCTTTCTGCATAAAGTAAATCACATCATAGATGAAGGCTAGTAAACATGGAGACTTTCTCCAAGTTTATGAGATTCTACTAGGTCGTCAGGAAAGTCATGACATATTTTTCTGTTTTATTATGAAAAAATGCTTCATGACTTTCCTGACAACCCAATATTTAAAAGAAATGGGTAACCAGCTGCTAATCATTTACACTAGAAAGGCTAAAGAAGAGTAAAGCTGTAATAGAGACTATTTCCCAATAGAGAAACTCATTTGATGCTATTATATATGGCTGAACAGGTTTATCTTCTGTGAGGCCTCTGAAAGCCAGGTAGCAGTCTAGCCAACAGGTGATATGGCACTACTATGGTGAAACCACAAATGCTTGAGAGATTTTGATTGTCATAAAGATGGACAAGGATGATACTGGCAATTAATGATGTCAACTATCCTGTAACACATGTGACCGTCTTGCCCAAGGAAGAATTGTCCTATTCAAATACCAGTAGGATTCCTATTGAGAAACACTGGGCTAGCGCTTCATATGCTCTGACTGAAGTCTGTCTGTCTTGAGGTTGAGAATGGCTATTATGGGGCCAGCAGGTGGCATGGTAGTTAAGGAGACTGGATTCCCACATGACTGACCACAGTTTGAGTCCTGGACCTGGTTGTTTGAAAATCATGCCAGGCATGTGTGCGTGCACGCTCAAAATTCCAAGAAGAGAATGAAGGAGAAGGGATTGTGGTGTAGCCATTCCCTCTGGGGGGTGATTTTTCACTTTCCCTCCTCTCTCTGACTTTCTCTGGAAAGTACACTATGACAAAAACCTAATTAAAAAAAAAAAAGGATATTATCACCTGGTTAGCATCCTCCACCCTTTGGAACCTAAGAAAAAGAAGAGCAAACACATCCTTATGAAGATCTCCCCAGCTATCAGAACTGTTGTACTACAATAAATTAAAGTCAATCCCTTTTTAAAATAGCACTTACATGATTTTGCCTAGTGTTAAGGTACAACACCAGGGCTGGGGTAGAGGAGGCCAAGGAGTAAATGTTGCAATGTTGGGCTTTTTTGGCCACAGAGTATAGGTGCAGGGAAGAGCAAAGTAACCAGGAATGGGGTTAGGCATGGGCGTCACCGGCATGCTTGGTGGTCCCTCTATGGGAAAAGCCTTTGAATCCAGAACAGGTACTCTCCAAGGATCAACTCACTGAGCTTTGGAGGGCCACTCCCTGAAGATACTTGAAGAGGCATCCTGGGGCTGGGAAGATGCAAACAGTGGGTGCCTGGGGGCCTCATTAAAGTGTTACTCATCTGCCCCATCCTGGGGTTAGTGCTCTGGGAACTTGGTGGAAGTTTTTGCTTCACGTAGAAACAGCATTAGAGAAAGCTGGTTTATCTAGTTGAATTTTACTTGTTTGAATAAGCACATTACGTGAATATTTTTGTTTGTTTGTTATAGATATGTCTGATAAATACACAATGACAAATACAGGGTTCAAACTTAGAGCCATACCATCTTGGCTATCCGGAAGGTTAGGCCCTTTTACATACAGGCAGGAACTCTACCCAGAGTAAGCATCTGGTTTTCTTTTTGGAGGCAAAATGGTCAGTCATGGCCATGGTTCTGCAGAAAGCAACTCAAGCTGCCCGAAGACTGGAAGTGCAATCTTTAGACTCAGGAATCACCTCTCAGGTGCTAAGATACAGAGATGAGCCTTGAACACTCTTTACCTAGAATTTCCTTCTCTTTTCCATTTGGCAAATTTCTTCCCTTTTTTTTCCCTAAGAATTATTTTATTTAACTTTATTTATTTATTTTAATTTGACCAGAGAGGGAGAGAGCGAAAGAGAGAGTGAGGGAGGGAAAGTGAGAAAGCAAGCTGCCAGGTCCAGAATTTGAACCATAGTCAGTCATGTGGAAGTCCAACACCTGTAACCACCACACCACCTGGCGGCCCCGCATTTGGCGAATTTCTATTTGTCTGTCAATACTCAACTACAAATTTACTTCCCACTGAAGACTTTCCATGAATTAGTCTTTTCCTACTTAGCAATGTCTTAGTCTAACATGCAGTGTTTATCTGTGCCCTTTTATTCTTCAAGAACTTAGCCTGTCCTAGGCCCTGTGCTAGTTGCTGGAAAAACAAGAATGAATGAGATGCTGCACCAACCTTGGGAACTCAGGGTTAGTTGCAGGTGATAGGCAATCCTAACAAACCGAAATGAATACTTCACATAAGTGAGAAAGGAGGGAGTCAGCCCTTCATCAAACTCATGTTGATTATGGAAAATAACATTGTGTAGATAAAGTAAAACCAGGTTATAAAAGGTTTCCAAGTATTTAGAGTTTTAATACTGTCAAAGACCTTGCAAATAAGGGCTTTCTCATTTCCCCTTTTATTGGACTTTGAATTTTCAGAACAACTGGGCTCTTAAGAAAATAAACTTCATTACCAGAAGCTAACTTACACCCTCTTCCTGTCTATCTGGTGATTTTGCTTCTTTAATGAAAAAACTATACCCAGAGCTGGGATTTGGTAGGTTGATGTGGTAGCAGTGTGGAGATGGATTTGAGATTGGTGAGAAGAGGCAGGAAGACCAACAAGGCTGCTGATATAGCAATTATAATTGGGATTGATCCAAGGGATAGCACTAGGCCTAGAGAGGAGGGACAGATGCAAGAGACATTTGAGGCAAATCAATAAGGCTCATAATTGAATCAATGTGCAGATCAAAGAAGAGGAAAGAACCAATCATTTTATAAACTACTCTCATCAGATTCATTCATACCAGCTTCCTGATGATTTACAAGCATGATAGCTTGTAACAGATGAATAATAAAAAAAAAAAGATCCTTATATCAATAGTCATCATTAGACGAGATTGGTGGCTATAGGATATCAATAGAAAAGGAGAGTGGGAAGAAAAATCCCAATGCCTTATGATGTCATTGCCTTGGGACAGATTTGGAAAATCATAGAAGTAGGGAACTGGGTGGTTGGTATAAAAATGTGGTGGGTGTCAAAATGCAGAAGTAGTCAGCTTCAGTAACAACTAATATTTATTGGACACTTTTACCAATATTTGTTTCACTTCATCTGCCGGATGACGCTTAGAACTTAGTAGTATTATCCCATTTCATAGATGAGAAATGTCTGAGAATCTCCCTTTGCCACCAACATAACAGTGTTAGGATTCAATGCTAGAAAGAAATTAAATTGTGACTATTACAGGAACAAAATTGGCAAAACATAAAAAAGAACTTGCTGTAAACTCCCTTAGTTCTGCATACTGCTTTTTTTAGCGACCAGATTTCAATAGTTCTTATTATAGTTCATTTGTAGTATTCAACTAAGTTTAGGAACCTAGATCTAGACCTCCTAATAATGCTTTGGAATTGTCAATGCGAGTCTTTCAGAGCCTTGAGTAGGACCCACAGAGATGTAAGTTATGTCTAC